ATCAGGATCATACTCCATACCATAGCGGACCTTCCATAAATGCAGTGACTGCTGCTGCTGCTGTTGAATTTTGAAACAGTTGTTGCTTTCGTAATCAGCAACCCTGATAAAACATAAAAACGACAATCATACTGATTTCCAGAATTCAACTCCTAAAAGGTGGTAAACGTTACCACCTATTAGAAGTTGAATTCTGAAAGAGCCTGAAATACTTGTACACTCAGTATCATTATTGACAGGAGTACTCCTGTGAAGTTTCGAATAATGTAGTTTAACTAATCTTGTTTCCCGATACAAACTTTCAACCCCTTTTTCACCCCTTTAGGGGTTGAATTTTCAAAAACCCTAGGACATTTAATTCTTATTTTTAACGCTTAACCCAAAAACAAAGTTTCAGACTTCTAGCTCCAAAAATGACGGACTTCCATACAAAGTTTTAACTCCCTTTTCACCCTCTTAGGGGGCGAATTTTCAAAAATTCTTTCTTAGCAAAGGCGTAGGTCATTACATCAATCTGTGCCAAATTTCAGCGAAATTCGTTTAGTAGTTTTGGCTGTGCGTTGATATATGGGTCAGTCAGGTTTGCCTTTTATATATGTAATTCGAACACTTTACAGCACTCATGGTCACTATGGTACCAAGATGTTCAATGTCCAGATGTCATAGTTAACCACGGTTACCAAAGATTAAAATTATTTATTTTTGTTCCGAACTACGCACTATGAATTTATATTATCTTGAAGTCTCGCAGTTGTATGCTTGCGTTTTAATTTTATAAATTATGGGATTTCAAGTAGATAGCAACACTCAGCCCTCTTCTCTCTTTAAATTAGAATGTTTTTTTTTTTATTTCAATAGCCTCGCGTATCATCCTTGGAAGGAATCGGTGTGTCTTTAGCGAGGATTTGTGGTCTATCAAATCTGATTTAAAGACAGGGGCGATACTGTACGTGTTCACAGACTGCAGACTTGCCGGAGCGTCGATTCTTCACATCAGCTATATGTTCTTTAACGTGGGTTTTAATTGATATTTTTGAAGTTGAAGTTGAATTGAAGTTTATCCTATGTAAGAGAGACCACATTCATAATCAAGCTTGTACACTCCTGCATCTTGCAGAGGAATATTATACTTGACTGGTGGTAAAAGCTGACCAATTTTCTTCGGCGGCTTGAAGTATGTTTTAATGGAAGCACACTTCAAGATGAAGCCCATATTGTCTGTGATACTTCCGACATATGGCAATACAGTAGGTATACCCTCGACTTCAGCCGGCTTCACTCGTTCACCGAGACGTAAGCGTGGGACCCGAAGATTTTTGTCATGCAAAACTTGCTTGAAGTGTTGGAGCTCGGCAGTCAGGTGTTTGCTGTCACAGTTCCCTCTTGCTCTCTGAAACATAGTTTACCCATGGTTGCTAACTGTGAAGGGTTATCACCAGTTACCAGGATGGAAGCCAGTTACTTGCTTAAGTCATCAACAAGACTTGACACTTATTAGTCAAAATGTGAGGCAATAGTCTGAAAGCAAGAATCCTGTTACGTTTTTTTCTCTCTTTTCAATTGCAATTGCAGCCTATAAAAGCCCTCTGCTGAACGTAGGTCTCCTATTTATTAACCTCATATTATGGAATTTTCCATAGTTGCCATGCTTTGCAGGTTTGCAGGATTAGCATCCGCAGTTTTCATTGTTTTGAGATGTTATCAGAAAGATGCTTCTGATCACCTGTTTTATTTTCTCTCTGTCTTGTCTTACAAAACACACGTGTCTATGTGGCAAAGTGAATATTATGGCTTGCCTATATTATGCATAAAATTAATCCGTGCTTGTTAATTGTGCTTAGGGTGAGAGTCAGTTCACTAGTCCTTAAAATTATAATTCCCAAACAAATGAGATTTATAGTATCAAAATTTAAAGATTGCAATTCAAAATTTAAAGATCGTATATTTTTACATATTATTACGTTGATACTTTTATAAAAGTTAAATAATATGACATCCACCTATGGGGCATTCTGTCGGGGAAGGGGGAGGCCTATGTTCAGCAGTAGGTTTTTATAGGGTTCGACGGATGGATGAATAATATGACATTAAAGTAAGAAATTACTTCGTATAAGAACTGTTTTACTAGTTTAAATAAACTTAAAATATATACATTTTAGTCAAAATGTTTAGAAAAATCTGAAATATTTGAATATAAGTTTTTATTTTATTGTATCCTTTTAGGATATGCTTGGTTCCATATGGGACCAATGAAGCCAATTTTGATATATCTGCAAAACCAAAATAATATTTTAACCATCAGATTTGAATAACAACAATTTCTTAATTTATTAAAAGCGTAACAAAAATACGATAGATAGCCTGTAAATTTTTCACTTTAGTTTTACTGTCAATTTAAAGAAACAAAATATAATTGATACGAGTATACTCAGTAACATAAGCTAAACACAAAATTGTTATTATTGATATAATATAACAATTTAAAGAGAAATTCGATGAAGTTAATAGCCTATAGGGTAATTTCCTCCTGTTAGTCACATTATCAAACTTTTTTCTAGGCATACCCATTATCAATTAATCAAATTTAAGCAAAGGCACATTGCTGCATCCGATCGATATTATGCAGTTAGAAAGTAAGAAAGAAGGTAGAAAGAGGGTAGAAGGTAGTTAGAAAGTTAGTAAGAAATTTAAAAATGATTATAGCATAATCGTTTAATATTGTAAGTTATTAAAAGTGTATGACAAGTTAAAATATAAGTAATATGTGAAGGACATAGAAAAAATGGTAAATTTAAAAAAATGGTTTTGTTCAGTTGATTTACGTAGGAGGTCATTCCTATCAGGTTATTATCACCTTCATATACTAAAATTGCTATGGTAAACGGACAATAGAATTATACTGACAGATGCATAAAACAGATAACCAAAAGATGTTAGCAACAAAATAAAATGTTCTGTAAACAAAAATACTTAGGAACTATTATACAATTTTTTGAGACGTCAGCAACTTGAGGTATCTTCGTGAAATATTTAATGTACTGAAATTTTGGTGCATACGACAAAGGGGCAAATAAGTAGTTGGGATGGCACGCACTGACCTGGTGAGTACTGTCTCGACTTGCTCCTGGAGTGTCAGCTATACAGCAGGCCCGCTACTGGTTCGGCGCACGTGCACTTTCGGAACAGTTTGTGAAGTCCCACACTCTCGATCTTTGCACTCATAGGGGCGTCTCACACTTCTACAAGTTACAAAGCCACAATGTCTAATCCGTTGAGTATTAAACATAAACAGGAGAACTCAATGTCCGTCCTGCGCGGTTTTGCGGTTAATATATATCTACGACGCCTGGCCGTGCGATCGCGGAGAACGTAGACATGTCACTTATTGACATGCCACGATACCTTATTTTTCACCTTGGTGTCAGAAAAGGAAATGAATGGGAGGAGTCCAAGATATGCAATAATCATTTCATTACATTAGTAAACTAGATTATTAACTGGCGTTACCAGATATTAATAGCGACAATCTATTTGTGCATAAGCCATGTGGGTTGCTATTAGTTAACTATGGTTGTTTTCTTAACCCTGCTGTTCATAATAATGTATATTTAACGTTATATATGTATGTATATATATATATATATATATCGTCGGTCGAAAACAGTAGTGGAACATATCTGAAAATTTGGTTTTTAACTTTTTAAGAGTGTTACATTACTATTTCAGTGCCAATTCTATATCAGTATCGGAATAAGTCAAACTCCACATAGAAGTCGATTAAAAATAAAAGTTCCACTTCTACTCTGTGCATATAGTATTATTCAGTATTGGGACACTTCGAAATGTTCCAATACGGCACTCAAAATCAAAAGTTGAATTAAATTTGTTCCACCACGCTTCTCGATCGCGCTCGAGTCTCCCGCGCGTTTGTTTAGTTACGCACTGCATGCTGCGATTGGTAGACGTATGGTCAAAAGTAATACAATCTGCAAAAATGTCTGTGTCTAAGTTATACGGAAGATCAATGAAAATGTTGCAAATGATAATCCATGAAGACGCCAATATTGAAAACAAAGGTGTGTATTCTATTTGTAACGTTTGTGTATTTTGTAAAGAGTCGTCACTTTTAAAATTTTGCACGCTTTGGCTATATTTTAACCACTTTTATTCTACAGAAAGTGAGATAAAGCAAGTTGAAGAGTATTCTTTGCCACAAAATGAAGTACAAAGTCTAGGTAACTTATGTGTTTTATAAGATATGCTTATTTATTAACTTTTGTGTTTTATATCTAATACATGTTATTAAACATTTTTTTTCTATTAACTGCTTTTATTGCTTTTGCTGATGCTGAACAGACATTGAACATAGAAAAATCTCCAGGCACTATTTTTATATCTAATAATAATGAAGTTGGTGAGATACAGCAATATGTTGAAGATAATCCTTTGCCTATGAATGAAGTACATAATCGGGGTACGTATCTATCTTCATGTATTTAAGTACATAATAGAGGTACTTACGTACCTATCTGTATATATTATTTTTGTGTTTTGGTATAGTGTGTATATTTATTTAACTGTTTGAATTTCTTTTAAGGTGTTGAGCAGGCAATAAATATGGAAAGTTGTACAGACTATAGGTTCGTAGCCAGCCAGCATGAGCCAGCAAATGATGCTTCTAATCTAAGTATGATTTTTTATACTATTTTAATAAACTAGCTTGCTGCCCATCAACATGTATTCCATAGTTCTAAATTATTTATGCAATAGCTTTATACGAGGTCTTTGTTTGCTTAGGTTTAGGTTAGGCTTATTGAAATTTTACGGGGAGGAGAAGATAAAGAAAATAATATACTAATTAACAGAGAGCCGTCACCATCACCATCACCCTGCTTTCTAAAAATAATGCTTCGGAAGAAAGGAAGAAGTTGACAAGAAAGAGACAACGAAATCCCGAGGCATGGAAGAAAAATAAAAAGAAATGTTTAAAAAATTCAGGTATGGCATACACTACTGAGAAAGGAAAATTAGTTAATGCTAAACAATTAAAACCTGGTTGTGGAGACAAATGTCGGTTGAAGTGTACACTTAAGATTAATGAGCAGCAAAGATTAGTAATATTCAATAACTTTTGGATATTAGGTGATTTGAATAGACAGCGAGATTTTGTCAAAAATGCTATGAAAGAAGTAAAACCGAAATATTCGCTACATAATGCTCAGAGTAAAAGATCTATTAATGCGGCTTATCATTTAACAGTAGATGGTATAATTATAAGGGTATGTAAAAAGTTCTTTATGCATACTTTGGACATTGGGCACTCATTTAGAACGACGGCATGTAAGAAAACAACATCATCGGGTATAGTTTTAGAAGATTTAAGAGGTATGCATAACAAGAAAGGTAAACTATTACCTGTCTTTGTTAAGGATGGAGTACGTGAACACTTAAACTCATATCCTACTAAGGAATCGCACTACTGTCGATCATCATAAAATAAACAATATTTTGATGGTGATTTAAATCTATGTATGATGTACAGGCAATACAAAGAGTGGTGTAATAAAGAAGGTAAGCCTGAAACTAAACAAGGAACGTATGAAAACATTTTTAGAACTGAATTTAATATAGCTTTTCATGTACCAAAGAAGGATCAGTGCTACCTTTGTTGTTCTTACAATAATGCAACAGAACAGAAACAAGAAATGGAAAAGAGTTATAAAGATCATCTTACAGAAAAAGAGCTTTGCAGAGAAGAGAAGAGGATAGATATAGAAACATGCAAAAATAACAAACAAAAGATTATTTGTTGTTATGACATGCAAGCGGTTCTTCAAACTCCAGCGGGTAATGACTCGCTATTTTTTTATAAGAGACGCCTTAATGTTTATAATTGTATCGTATATGACATCGTTAATAAATCTGGACATTGTTATTTATGGGACGAAACTTTGGGTGGAAAAGGATGTGACGAGGTAGGATCTTGTATTTTACAGTTTTTCAAAGATTTTTGTCATGGAAAACATGTTATATTTTATACCGACAATTGCTCAGCACAAAATAAGAATAAGTATTTATTGTCATTATACTATTATGCCTTAAAAATGTTGGGTGTGAAATCCATAACACATAAATATTTTGTTGTCGGGCACACTCAGAACGAGGGTGATAGCGTTCATGCCACTATGGAAAGAGAAAGATCCCGAGTATTAAAAAATGGTTCCGTGTTCGTGCCATCTCAATGAAGGACAATTATACAATGTTCTAAGAAGAAAGGTAATCCCTACCAAGTTCATGATTTAGATTATTCAGACATTTTTGATTTAAAAGAACTAATTTCACACTTTGGGAACAATTTTACAATAAATACAGAAGGAGAGTGTGTAGTGTGGAATGATATCAAGAAAATATGCAAGCTACTAATCCTTTCGCTATTTATTACTTGGATACTTATCAACTTGACAGTACAATGAAATGCCTCAATGTCCGGCATAAAATGCGGGGCAAACATTAGTTTTGACAAATAAATATCGCACTCGTCCTGGAATATCAAATCTTAAAAAAGAAAGATTTGATTTCATTATTTGATGGTAAAGTAATTTCAAGCGTTTAGTGGGATTATTATAAAACATTGCCAGCTTCCTCAGATAGAGCTGACGTTGACTAATTGTTCTCTTTTTTATATTTTCTTACTTATAAATAAAAAATGTTATAAAACTATAAAAGTATTTTATTTATTATTCTCTAAAAATGCAATTATTTACTAAGGTTCTCTAGATTTCATTTTATTTAGGTCATTATTTAAAAAAAATACATAGTTTTTTAATTCAGTACTGGTACATTCAAAAATAATCCATTATCAGCGGGATATTTGCAGTCAATAAATTAATTCAGTAGTGGAACATTTCAAATATTTACTTATACTTAAAAAACAAATAATAAAAAATTAATGAATTTAATAGAAATCATAAATGTAAAGTGTAACCAAGATATAACAACATTAAAAACAATCCTTTTTTATCTTAACACTCGCTAAATGGAAAAATAAGTATTTCTAATTTTTAATTGGTCAATATCTCACATTTACTCATTTTGAAATGTTCCACTACTTTTTTCGACCGACGATATATATAGCGTGAAATATACATTATATATATTTCTGATCTTTAATGGTAGCTAATAATAATGCAAATAATAAATTCATTAAAAATCGTAACACCTCAACTGGACCGAGAGTAGCCAATGGAATTGAAACACTTTTTTGTGTCTTAGTTCTTCATTGAGAGGAAATAACGTTATTATTATTGGATATGAAAGTAGTGTTTGCTCATAATTAAAAAAATTAGAAAACAATACCAATTTTTTTAATCAAAAACAATATAGTTATTATGAATTATACTTACTACAACAAAATTATACTGATGATGTACAAATTTACTCAGAGTTGATAAAACCACTGCACTGCTTTATAAATTAATAAGATAAAGGGAGTTACATTTATAAATTATTGAGAATTCAGTTCTTCAGTCTAAAATTGAACCAAATTAACATAGCATAGTCATAGGAAATCTTTGAATTGTAATCAAGATCATAAAGCGGTGTCAAAAACTAAAAACTGATTAATTAGCATCGAGAAATAATAATACTGTATTATACTAAATTAATAATACTGTACTAATAATACTATTACACAGAACAATGGTTTCTGTAAGTATGACCCAGAAATCATGGTAGTTATATAAGATTGGGGGCAATTCTTCTTCTATGCATTTTCACTAATCACTATGCTGTTAAAATGCTGTCAAAAATTAAGCCTATAGCCACCATAGGGGCTTTTTGTGTCCACGATTAAAATGCAAAGGCATGTTAAATTAAGGATTCGGATTATTAACTTTCATTAAAATAACAAATTATTAACACCGCTTTACAGAGAACCATACGCTACTATTTCATATAAATAAAATAATGAATATTGTAGAAGTATGACGCTCCACAATTCATACTTAAAAATGATAGTGAACTCTTCTATGTCAATTACTGTAAAGTAATAAAATTAACTATTTCTCTAAAGGAGCAATTTTGTAGTAAGTGTATTGTAATTCCTTACTGGGCTTGTATACCTTTTGACTTAGGTTTGAGTTACAAACAAAGACTTAATAATAAGTTAGTTTTATTTTATTTAAAAACATATTGCAATAAATAATTGAGATTACAGAAATATACAAAAGCCAGTAAAGGCTAAGCTGGGATGTAAGCTGTGATTCATAGGTCAGAAAATATCTTAAACGTTATCTTTCATAAATATTATATTTATTCCAAGTGGAGCTCAGATGTATAGTTAAGATAAAGGTAGATTTTCATTTCAACAGGGACTGCATGAGACAAAATAAATGAAAGGGACTTGAGCCTTTCCTCTGAATATTTTATTAGAAAACCTCACACAAAATATTTGTAAATATATCACTAACTTACAAGAACCCATTTAGAAAAGTAGTTCTGAAGTTATAAGATATTCTAGATTGTTTTTATTTCAGTCATAGATTTTCCACGGAGCCACTTCTGCTGCAAGCTGACCTTAAGAAATGTTATATATAAAATTGAGATAATTTATTATATATTATTAAATTAAATATATAATATACATACAATATCTTCATTTTTTTTAAAAATTAGGAAATATAATTTTTTTCCAACCATTGGTATTACATTGGTAATTCGCAACCCTGTCTTCAAACATCTACTAGTTGTAAAGAACGTCTCGAATAAGGAGAGAGTATAAATAATGGTTAAATGAACTTACCGTAAGTAAAATTCAACCATAATTAAATGAAGCTCCTTTTTCGAGGCAGTACTCCCAACCCAACCCAACCCTCCCTGTTTTAGAGTTGCTCATCTAATTCCCTGCTTTAAACATAATGAAAATTCATTTGAAATACGGGTTGATATAGTGGTTTGCTGTTCCCATTTTTAAGAGCTTGGATATTTGTGATGCTGGCGAGGAATATGGCGTAATACAAGTTCTAAAGAACTTCTCGAATAAAAAACTTCGTTTATTTATGGTTGAACTTCACTAAAGGTAAGTTCGTTTAACAATTTAATTTTAAGTTATAACTGAATATTTAGGTAAATTTATTGAAGTGACAGGCAAGGGTAAACGTTGATGGAAGTCTATCGACCAAATAAGCGATATATTTATAAAGGGCCAAACTAAGCGCACAATCAACCTAACAGCATATGCTTGTTATTTATACATATTTTAAAAATTATTTTGTACATTGTCATTAGCTTTAATTACAACTGATGTTTGTAATTTTTTGGCTTATTCCATGGTCTATTTTTTGATAGTTCTTAATACTTTGTGATTCAGAATTTTAATAAAGGAATACTACTTTATACACATTCATCTGCTGTAAAATATTTTTCCTTTGTCTTAAACCTTTAAGCCCAGTCGAAAAAAGCGTGTTACGGAACATCAATTTTTTTATCAAAAATTAAAACTTTCGAGTATAACTAATGATCAGGATTGATTTACAACATAAAAATCTTCATCAAAAATCACAGCGAAAGAACTAACATAAATCAAGTCGAAGTGATACATAAACTACAAGAAAACCTCTCAATGCCGCTTCATATTTAACTTGCAGCAGGCTATGTATCTTGAAGACACTGTATGTAAGTGCCTCGATTACGTGCGTGTGTGTTTTATGCCTATTTTGTGTAAATACTGTTATCCTCACAGTAGTGACGTTTTATCATAACAAATTCCTTTCACACCGATATTGACTAGTGTATTAAAACCCTTAACATCTGCGTTTATATCAAATGTATATTGTTGAAGTATTTGATTGGAGTTGTAATTTTATCGTTCCGTCTTTGATCTTCAAGTAAAAATCTGCAAAATGTCGGTTTTTGTGAGCAAACAATGTAGAGGGTCGTGCCAGCCAACCATTTTGATGTAAGTGACGTTTTTTTGGTTCCGCGTGATTTTTTTCTGTAACTTTTTTTCTAAAATATTAATTTAAATAATATGATGTAAGGGATAACTTAAAAAATTGACAGCTTATATACGTCCCACTTTTAGGCACAAGCCTGATCTGATTTCTGAGAGGGTTTTAGGGCAAGCATATGACCGCCGCGCTGCCATAATGCATGTTGGCGAACTTCACATGTCTTCGAAATATTTTTTCTTATTTTAAGACATGCAGAATTTCTTACGATGTTTAGGTTCACCACCATCGTCAATTGGTACTTAAAAATAAAATAAACAATTTAATTGGTATCGGCAGAACCCGGGTTGCTCGCCTACTGTGAAATTTACAGCAAGCGCTTGACTTGAGCGCCTCTGCTACCACGGCTCTCCATATACTTATCAAAAAATCAGTAGTATTCTCACAATAGGTATATACATCACAATATTTAACACAAAATTTTCACAATAAGTTTATAAGGCATCAGACCCGTACAGTACGTATATGAAGGAAATGAGGCAGTCGAC